GGACTCGCTGTTTGCAGTGTGTGTTAACGATGTTTCAGGATTCAGTGTTCTGATGGATGTAAGATGTGCTGTTCATGTTTCAGTCGGAGCCCTTCAGTTCCAACATGCCCGAGATCCTCTTCAACATCTCTCGCTTTCTCTTCCACAACCTGACCAGAGACGTTCCCATGGGCATCTCCAAAGTGTATCCACACACACACACACACACTGTATTAAGTGTCTGCTGTGTATTTTAGGAGAGTTCAGTGTGATGAAAAGATCCGAGATGCTTTGGATTCTGGATGTGTTGTGACCAGTGTGGAGGAAAAGTTTAAATGTTTTAAATGTGAACTACAGTTCGCCTCGACTCATCGGCTCTGGTCACACACCGAGCGAGATCTCTACTGTTCAGTGATATACATCGTAGATGTTGCCGCGTGATAGCTTGTGTCCTTGACGTGAGGTTCAGAGATACGCTGTATGCTCTGGCCAAGCAGAGTAAAGTTCTGGGAGCGTATAAAGTAGCGCGTCACGCCTTCGAGAAGCTGCAGGGCCTGAAGATCCCGTCCCGCTATCAGGAGAGCATGGAGCTGAGCTGCCTAACCGTGCGCTCCAAACCCTACCGGGACAGCGAGGTGAGTGTGTGTGTGTCACAGCTGTTTACAGGAGGACTGCCTGTTGCTAAAGCTTGTGTGTGCTGCAGGATTTGATCCCGATGTGTTTCCGCTGCTCCACCAACAACCCGTTGCTGAATAACCAGGGCAACTCCTGCATCAACTGCCGACAGCCGTTCATATTCTCTGCCTCCTCTTATGGTGAGCGGCTCATATTCCTGTCATTCAGAACCGGTGTGGTTCAACTAGGAATGCATGAACAGTAGAACATTAGGCTCTGTCTGTTGGTTTGCTGTTCTCTTGTTTCTTCTGGCTCTCAGTCCACCGTCTGGTAAAGCCTAAGGAAGTTTGCCACACTGATTAGATTTGTGAATTGTGTTTTGGCAAACCTTTCCACATTGTTGGTCAAACATGGATGAGATCATCGTCAGAACATGTGTTGTTTGATCGGCCTCTGGAGGATAGCAGGATCTTTGCATTGGTTTCACGTATCTCTGTGGTGTGTGTGCGTTCAGAGGTTCTTCCGCTGGTGGAGTTTTATCTGGAGGAGGACATCTCGGATGAGGAGGCCGTGTCTCTGATCGACCTGGAAGTGCCTCGCGTGGAGAGAAGCGGCGGCTGGCAGGAGATGAGCAGCGGAGGTAACGTCTCTTTCACCTCATGCACATATATATTGTGGCGGCAGGAGCAAACGGATTATGTTTCCGGCGGATTAGGTTTGCCTCAATCACACACACTCCAGTCGGGAACCTGGCAAATGGTGGAGAGTTAAGGGTCGGGCTGGCACTAATTACAAGGGAGAGGCAGCCGTTCCGTCACAGTATATATGCATATATTCGTCCATACGCAGGAGAACGAGCTAAAGAACCGCTTCAGGGAGACTAGAGACTCGTGCGGGGTTCCTACAAGCTGCTTTGACTTTTTTAAATTTAAGTCCAGGAAAACAGCTAGGCCTATATATTTATGAAAATTATTGAAAGACAATATATGTGAAATTAGTGTTTAATTTTATTGATAAAACTATCTTTTCATGCTGCAGCCCGTCTGATATAGATATAGAGCCATCTTGAATGGCTATGAGCGTAATATTCCTCATATTAAAGTATATGATACAGCTTTCATTCTTCAGGTCAATCATATATTCATGGGGGAAATAAGTTTGAATAAGGAAAGCAATATCTTCGTCAGTGTCCTTTCAATGGTTAAAGTTACCACAGTTATTGCTTTTGCTGCAATTTTTTGTACCATTTTGTTTTATTACTTTATTTTTATTTATCTATTTACCTTTTTTATTTGAAAGAAAATATATATATTGTTTTAATAAGTGAGATATCCGATTGTAGTCCTTGCAAAACCAAGTTCTGATGAAGGTCATTGGTTTCTTGTGTAATGAACTGCCCACTGATTTCTTTTGGCTTGATTGGCAAGTGGATAAAGACTAGTGATTGTCTTTTACATTAAAAATGTGTTATTTTATTGTTGTGACATTCCTGTTTTGCTCTCCATCTCTGTCTGCTCCCTATCGCCTGAGTTCTGATTGACAACACCTGTAATCTGGCAGCTTGTTAGAGATGGAATATAATCTAAACTCACTGTCTAGTGTACTTCTGTGTGTGTGTGTGTGTGTGTGTGTGTGTGTCAGAATCCCAGTGTCTGAAGCTGGATGATGGGACTGAAGACCCAGAGAATGACCCCTTTACAGCCAAACTCAGCTTTGAGGTGAGACTGACAGATGAAAAACATGATTTTTCATAAATACACATTCCTGTTATTCCTTCATTTGTAAGAAGACACATCGCTTTGGTTATCTTTCCTCATAATAACTTGTAATATCCATCTTACCATGTGGAAACCTAAAAAAAATATTAACCAATCATATCATAGCCATGTTCTCATCACTCAGACGATTCCTCAAACACAGTCACATGACATTGTAGAAACCGTTTCATGTTGCATTGAAATGATGCCAAAGCCACGTTTGTTCTCCTCGTGTGTTACGAGTGCAGCAGTCCATCAGACGAGGCTTGAACCCGGAATAAAAGTGTCTGCCAAATCAATAAACGCTTCCCAGATAACCATTATGTTCTAAAAACGTTTTGTTCACATTCCCATTAAATTCTGAAAACGTTCTTTATGAATGTTTTCTGAACATTCAAAACATCCAGTTTTAAAAATGGTTATGTGAATGTTAAAGGATTAGTCACTTCAGGATTATAATGTCCTGATAGTTTACTCTCCTCCACATCATCCAAGATGTTCATGCCTTTCCTCCTTCAGTGGAAATGAAGGTTTTTGAGGAACACACTCCAGGATGTTTCTCCATATAGTGTCTTCAATGGGGTCCAACGGGTCGAAGGTCAGATGTGAGTTTCAGTGCAGCTTCAAAGTCTTGACGCGATCCAGCCGAGGAATAAGAGTCTGATCTAAACTAACCAGCCCACATTTACAACAAAATAAACATTTAAATACTTTTAACCACTAATGCTGCTCTTGCTCTCGCTGTGATGCGACACACATTACGTGATCAGGGTGAAAGGTCTGCTTGGTGACTGTGGTCCGACTGACTTGAGATCATTAACAAGCTCCTCCCGTGTGGTTCTGGGCTGATCCCTCACCTTTCTCATGATCATCTTTATCTCATTCCCATGATCATCTTTATCTCATTCCCATGATCATCTTTATTTCATTCTCATAATCATCTCATTCTCATGATCATCTTTATTTCATTCACATGATCATCTTTATCTCATTCACATGATCATCTTTATCTCATGCTCATGATCATCTTTATTTCATTCTCATGATCATCTCATTCTCATGATCATCTTTATCTCATTCTCATAATCATCTCATTCTCATGATCATCTTTGATCATCTTTATCTCAGTCACATGATCATCTTTATTCCATTCTCATGATCATCTTTATTTCATTCTCATGATCATCTTTATCTCATTCTCATAATCATATCATTCTCATGATCATCTTTGATCATCTTTATCTGAGTCACATGATCATCTTTATCTCAGTCACATGATCATCTTTATCTCATTCTCATGATCATCTTTATCTTATTCCCATGATCATCTTTATCTCATTCACATGATCATCTTTATCTCATTCCCATGATCATCTTTATCTCATTCCCATGATCATATTTATTTCATTCTCATGATCATCTTCATCTCATTCTCATGATCATATTTATTTCATTCTCATGATCATCTTTATCTCATTCCCATGATCATCTTTATTTAGCTCCAGACTGAGGGCAATTGATACAAATGACAAAGTCTTCTTCTCCCCAAGCTTCTTGCCGATGGTCTTGTCAGCCACCCGGCCGTGTGCAGGTCTACTGTCCCGGAGGCGTCACAGCTCATGCTGGAGACAGAGATTCTGAGGACAGGTGTCGACTGACATTAGGAGTACTTTCTTAAAGTGACAGCACTAATCTGTGCTCCACATGGGCACATGACCAATCTGTGGCAAGCAGAATTCTTGCTGGCTGGAAGGGGAACAAATTGTAAATAACGTTTTCAGACATTATCAAAGACCAGATAACTCTGAATGAACTTTCTATTAGCGTTACTGGAAGAACATTAGTTCATAACTCGGAGAGAGCATTCCTGTCGGCTAGGCTGTGGGTGATGTTGTATAAGTGCTATATAAGTGAAGGTGACCTGACTTGTCTTGTGTGCTGTGATTGACAGCAGGGTGGGCGGGAGTTTGTGCCGGTGGTCGTGAGTCGGCCGGTGTTGAGGTCCATGTCCAGGCGAGATGTTCTGATCAAGCGCTGGCCCAAACCTCTCAGCTGGCAGTACTACCGATCCCTGCTGCCCGACGTCAGCATCACCATGTGTCCGTCCTGCTTTCAGGTACACACACACACACAGGCTTCATGTGTTTGGCCTGTTCCCTCTCTGTGATGTTTGATTGCATTGTCTTTTCCAAAGATGTTTCACAGTGAGGACTACGAGCTGTTGGTTCTTCAGCACAACTGCTGCCCGTACTGCCGCAGACCCATCGATGAGCCCAGCACCTAGTGTGTGTGTGTGTGTGAGTGCGTACTGCCCTAAACCCATCGATGAGCCCAGCTTGCTCATCCGCGTGTGCTGAATGTGCGCGAGCTCGGTCTGATCAGGATCCGCCGCTCCAATCCGTCAGTAAATGCCAGCTCAGCGCAGCTCTGATAGGATTACCGGGATCAACCGGCCAAAGTAGATTACAGTGTGTGTCCATACATGCTCCTTATCACACTTACACAAACACACTCCATTTCACTGTCCTTTTAAATAAAGATTTCATATTTTTGCTCTAAATGTATGCTTGTCATGTTTTCCTATCAGTTGAGCTGACGTGTTTTATATATATTGTCTTTTAAAATATGGAAGTCATTCTAGTTTTGACAATTAAGTCAATTATAGGAGCTTACATCTTTCACTACTTCTGATTGGAGATGACTATTTTTGAAAGATTATTGTTGGAAATATTTCCAGAACCAATTTATCATTTCTTTTTTCTGTCCTCAAGTGATTGTCCACCTTGTAAGTCTCTATTCATTTCCATTTTTATGTCCTCATCCTTTAGGAATTGACAACATTTTTGGTGGGAAAACCAAGAGCACAAACATGATGTTTTGTGAGATTTGTCTTGCTCTGAAATGTTCCTGTTTATTAAAATGACAGACATCATCATTACAAAAGATGGTTAATAAACAAATAATATTACTTAAATAATGCTGAACGGAAATAGAGAGCCAAAGTTCAAGTGTAATAGCTGAAGTGTGTGTGGCTGGACTCGATCAAGACTAATTCATGGAACTCCCAACAAACACCAGCAAACTTGCAATTGGGTTTCGAAGCGAAACCTCCTTGAACCGGCCTTGAGCGCACTAGTGGGTGTTTGTGGGCGTTTAGAGACACATTGGTATTTCTTTGAAGTTACGAGGTGGAAAATGAAAGTGTTACCGTGTTTACAGTCGGTTTACCTCCATGGATTATCAAGCCTCTCTGACCCCAATCTGCCTGTAACTCAATTCCTCCAAATTGCATGGCCTCTGTAATCTCTTTAATCTGGGCACATGGGGTTCATATAAGAGGGCCGCTTGAGTCCCGGGCAGCAGATCTCTCGCTCGCTCTCAGGGACTTCATTTGCTTTCCAGCTTCGTCTGTCTACTTTCTCTGTCTTGATCCTTAACCAGTGAACCGAATATGAATGGAACAGAAGGTCCGAACTTCTACGTGCCGATGTCCAACAGGACCGGTTTGGTCCGCAGCCCGTTTGAGGAGCCGCAGTATTACCTGGCGGAGCCGTGGAAGTACTCGCTTCTGGCCGCTTATATGCTCTTCCTCATCGCCACTTCATTCCCCGTAAACTTCCTCACGCTCTACGTCACGGTGCAGCACAAGAAGCTCCGCACGCCCCTCAACTTCATCCTGCTCAACCTGGCCGTGGCCGACCTGTTCATGGTGGTGGGCGGCTTCACCGTCACGCTCTACACGGCCCTGCACGGATACTTCGTCCTGGGGGTCACGGGCTGCTACATCGAGGGCTTCTTCGCCACGCTGGGCGGTAAGTGCACTCACTCGCCGCGGGAACACCAAACCAACCAGTGCTCCAGATGTTCATTAGAGAACAAATGAGGATCAGAATGCATTATAGGAACATGTTAAAAAAAAACATGGTATTCTTGGAAGTCCCATGTAAAGACTGTGATGTACAATATCAGTGGTCAAGGTCTCTTTATTTTAAGGTGACTTGTTACAGTGTAATTATACATTAAGTACTGAGTAATAATAATTAACCTTATTTACTCAGGATTTGGGTTAGGATTAGTTGCATGTAATTATGCATCATTTATAGTTATTAATAGAGTGTAATTTTTGGGGGGACATAATGTTACAATGCAAAAAAAAAAAGTTTAAAGATAAGCTTCTTTTTTTATTCTGATTTTGGGAAGGAAATATGAGCTGATCACAGATTTACACATAAGTGCTGTGAAATATTGCTTTTCATTCAGGCATATAATGACTCAGACTTCATATCACATTTTGGGGTCAGTTTGGGTCTGTTCTCATATATGGTTGGATCTGATCTTGCGGTTCAATAAATTTCCATGTAATAATTGACATTATATTTGGCCTGTGTAATCTACGCCTCTGTTTCTGTTGTAACCCTCGTTCCCCTTGAGAGCCCCAAACACTTGTGATGTATTCTAAAAAAGCCAATGTAATTGGTGTGTGAAATTTGCATGCCAGGCCACGCCCCCAGACATATGGGTACATAAGGCATTTCGGCTGCACACATACTTAAGGTTTGTTCTGAGGAACTGACACAGAATCTCAAACGCCTCAGATGTGGTTCAGGTTTTGACAGGAGAGACACAACGTTCCCTCCATCAGGGAGTGAGAGTTGCGTCAATAACCAAGATATTCCCTTTATGTCGGTAACTTTCGAAATACCGACATTAGGAGTCCCCACTAAATGCCACAACATGAAGTGTGTCACAAGGCATTCTAGTGCAATTGCGAGCAAGCCTCCATGTGCCAACTGGGCAACTGCGCAAGTGCACTAACTTGCAACCGACCAATGGCCAGGGTAAGGACCTCAGGCCTTCCAACCAAGAGGACCTTCTCACCTCTTCTAGGGAGGTCACTCAAGCCATAGGACTCTTCTGATTTTCCTAAATAAAAGTTTTATTTTTTGATGAGGAAACCTGGTTGTTAACGTTGGGAACACTACGGAGACCACATTTTGCATGTGAACAATACATAATATGGACTCACCAGAGGGAGTACTACATAGGAAAGAGTTTCTATGGTGGGCTCCACTTTAAGGAGGGAGAGACTAGCGGGTTCACAGCGACTGATGACAGAGCTATCTCCATCCACGGGAAGACATTGGGTTTACAGACAACTGAAAAGTGGAAGAATACATTGTATGGGGTCACAGTTAGGGCACCACTACAGGACTAGCCAGATTATAAGTGCTCTACATGTGTCTGCTAATGAAGCACTGTTTGATAGATCCGATGTAGCTGCAATATCCCTAGAGTGAGTCCTCATTCTCAGTATTTGCAGGGCCTTATAAGCCCGGAGAACAGCATCCACAATGGGTCATTCTTAGTTTGAAGACATGTTTCCCCTTCTCCTGATCTTAAAAGCAGACAAAGAGTTGCTCCACTCATCTGAACCTCTGTGTCAGGGTCTAGCAAAGACAGGGCTAGGTCTCCCTCATTAGGAGGGATTGCTTGCAAGTTCACCACTTGGTCCCTGAAAGGAGTAGTCCATGGATATCCAAGCCAGGAGAGTAAGGTGAGAGTAAGCTGGCCTAAATTCCAGGCTCAATTCACAAATGAAGAAGGCTTTTAGGTCCCCCCACCCTCTGGATGGAGGTGTGTGCAATCAGGGTTAGGATCAGTGCAATCAGTTTTCATAGTGAGGGCCCTAAGCTTGATGGACTGTACAGGGTCAAACATATCTCTCTGCAGGGCCTGAAGGACCAGAGAGAGATCCCAAGAGGGGATAGGTTGAGGTCTAAGAGGGTTTAGCCTCAGTGCACCTCTCAGTAACCTAACAATGCTTTCCTATGGACCTACCTTGAAGAAAGGAAAGCAGGGAGCCGACTTTACAACTCTATGGGTCTTCACTTTGGGAAGCACACCATGTAGTAAAGAGGCACATCTTCAAGGTATAGAGCCGCCTTGTAGAGAGGCTCTGGCCTGAGTAATCTCCGCTGGTGATAGTCCTCTGAATTCCTCCTCCTCGTCCCGTCCATGGGCCAGACGTGGAGAGGTTCCAGAGGTATGGCCGCAGGTTCCAGATGCCCATGTGCCATGCCCCTGAGAAAGAAGGTTATTCCTCAGGGAATCCACCAGGGAGGGGCCAAAGTCCAAAGCATGAGCCCTGAAAATCAAGTCTGGTTGGGCCAGTAGGGCGCAACCATTTTGACTTGTTCTTCTTCCTCTCTGACTTTGTGAGTGTGACATGCAATGGAATTGGATGCCACCCTGGCAATTTATATATGCCACTGTTGCTGTGTTGTCTGTCTGGACCACAGCATGCTTGCCCTGAATCAAAGTACTGTACTAAATCGCACGAGTGAGATCGTACAAATTGTTACGAATTAGCCACCTCGTAAAATTTGTACGAATTCTCCTGAGATCGGGTTGTCCTTGCCGCAGTTGCCCTTTGTCTTGCACACAAGGGGAGTAAAAATAAAGTATTACGTCACTGTTAAGTAACTTAAGTGCTTCAGTTCAAACAAATTGACTAAAATCTTAAATCATGATTTGTGTCATTTTAGTTATGACAGTGATGCACATCAGTTCATAGTATAACGGCACCAAAACATAGTAAACTGAAACCAGAACTACACTGGTTTCATAATCCTCAATATCACTGTAAAAGGGAATTACACAACTATTATATGTACAGTAATATATCGCAAATCTCAAGTATCCTATTGCTTATCCAACTGCTAAAATCTGGACTAATAGGCATTACAAACATTAACAGCATTAAGTTCTGTAAAGCCCTCTACAAATTGAAATGAACTGACTATATTTAGATGCTTCTCTTCATTTCTCAGGTGAGATTGCGCTGTGGTCTCTGGTGGTCTTGGCTATCGAGCGCTACATTGTCGTGTGTAAACCGATGAGCACATTTCGTTTTGGTGAGAAGCACGCCATCATGGGAGTGGGCTTCACCTGGGTCATGGCCCTCACCTGCGCCGTGCCGCCCCTACTGGGCTGGTCCAGGTAATCAATTACGCTTCACCATAATATGCAGGTTTAGTAACTGATTTTTAACTGAATTTCCCACGACAGTATAATCTGAAAGTGCATTCAAGCCTATTAAACATACCGGTGTAATGAACGCAGAGATAATTGGCGGGTTAGACTATAATAACAAAAGACATACATTGGTGTGTGTGTGTGTGTGCAGGTATATTCCCGAGGGGATGCAGTGCTCTTGTGGAGTAGATTACTACACTCCCAAACCGGAAATCAACAACACCTCGTTTGTCATCTACATGTTCATCCTGCATTTCTTCATCCCACTGCTGATCATCTTCTTCTGCTACAGTCGTCTGCTCTGCACTGTCCGCGCGGTAAGACACACAGAGACAGACACACACACACACACACACACACACACACACACACACACACACACAGACACACACCAGAGCTGGAAAGTCAGACTTCATTTGCTCCTTATAGAACCACCTTGTGGCCAATTTTCACAAATTTTGGTTAGGGGTGCACGATTCAGAAAATGTCACGATTCGATTCGATACCGATTTTTTGTCTCAAGATTCGATTCAAAATCGATTTTCGATTCAAAAACGATTCTTGATTCAAAAAACGATTCGCAGGTCTACATAAATGTAGTTTACTTTTTCCTATGTGATTGATTGCAGGAGACATAATTTAAAAGAAAAGTTTGATATTACTTTATATGTCTTCATACAAAAATAAAAACTTTTGCAACTAAAAAGTGCGAAGTGCCAAGCTTTGGCCAGCTTTTAAATACATTTAATTCAAGTTTAAAATAAAACTTAAATAAAAAGCTTTTACATTTAGCTTTAAAGTGCTATAGTCAGATCAAACAAACAATTATGCTAAATGTGGTTTAAGGAGTAGGCCTACTTCAGCTACCAGGTTGACTGTTGAAATGTGAACTCGACTGGGCACATTGAACTTCCTAAAAATATATACTAATTTCATAGAACCCTTGCGAAAATATTTTAAATAGATTTAAAAAAGCCACCGCTACTGGTAACATCTATGGTTAGATTGATTTGTTTAGATCCAGTGAAGTCGTTCATAGGCGCGTAATTTGCGGGTATCTCCAGTTAACTAGCAGAGCATTCATTTAGGTCGCTATTAAATAAGAGACCTGTTGTTTTTGAAATCAAGCTGAGCGCTCGTGTCCGCTGCGATCGGTGTCATGGACATACAGTGTTCTCTGTGGCTCGCGCAGTCTTCTCTCGGACGCGCGCTTCAATCTATCGCCGTTGTGGAGACTCCGGTGAAATCACAAAATAAAATGCACACAAACGTGATGAACATATTCGGTTTGGATGAGAGAGAGAAAAAACTATACGAGTGCGGTTTAGAACCCGTCACCTCTGACACGCTTGGCAAAAGATCTACAGATCTGCGGATCGATGCATTTATTTACGGGTTGAGCAGAGTGGCTGCACAGTTTGACCAGCGGGCGGCAAGAACTTGCAATAACTATATCAGACCGGCCCTCGCAGCCTCGAAACCATAGAAACACTACCGGACCACCGGTAAAAGTCCCGACTTACCCGATTGCCACTCCGCCCCTGCACGCCATTAAAAAATATAGCCTATGAATCGATTTTTGGAATTCTATGAATCGATTCTGAATCGGTAAAGATTGAATCGCGATTCAAATGTGAATCGATTTTTTTGCACACCCCTAATTTTGGTACACATTTTCATTTTCACACAATGTATGGATATTTCCATTTTTTGTAATGGTAGGCCATTCAGATTTGATCTCATTAGTTGCTGAAATTTGATTGAGAGACGGCCATGTTTTTGAAGGATAACTGTAAATCCCCTATGTAAACGGATTTACAGTTAAGGACCCAAGAAGTAGATAGGATTATTTAAAACTAAGAGTTACAAGTGGAGTCAATTTAAGACAAGAGTCAGAATTATGATAGAAAAAAGAAAAGTTTTACGAGAGATAGTTTGCGGTTTCATCAGCAGAAGTTCAGCTTCAACACTCGACTAAAGATCAGCAGTTATACCCTTCACCAGCTCTAAGCTAGTCATTGCTTCAGGTGTTGAATGATTCTGATTGTCTAAGAAATAGATAAACTCATGGACAGATAGGCAGTAGCACATCTCCATAGTCCACGGTTGTCCCCGGGACCCTGAAGTTTTTTTCGCGTCGAAGACCTTTCTCAAACAAAACGAGTCCATATTTGATCTCTGCAAGCCGAGCTAAATGAGCGAGCACTGTTCCTGACATGGGCCAGTCACCTCTCAGATACATAAGAGAATACATGAAACAAACATTTCAGTAATCACACTGGTAACTTCAATAACGAAGTAAAATCTCATAAGCCTAGAGAATTAGGTATTAGGGTTAGGAATTAGATATTAGGGTTTCTAAATACTAATTTGATGAAATACTGATTTTATGAAACTTGTGTGTCCTCAGAGTGTCCAGTTGTCTGTGTGTGTCATGTCTATGGGTGATTGGACATTGCATTCAGCAGATATGGGTCAACTTGTAAAAATGGTTCCCCCAAAAATGAAAATAATATCATCATCTACTCGCCCTCATGTCATTCCAAACCTGTGGGACTTTCTTTCTTCTACAGATTTTTTTTTAAAAAGAATGTTGGAAAACCCAAGAGTTTTGATGACCATTTACGCAATTGCACAAAATAAAGCCTCTTTACTGGCATTGATGGTTCCATTAAGAACAGTTTAACATCCATGGAGTTGATAACCTGTCCAGTATTGGATTGCCTTTATTAGACCATTTCTAGATAAAGACTACAAGATGGGGTGGTGATGGCGCAGTGTATAAGACACGTGCCTTTGGTGTGAGAGACCCGGGTTCGAATCCACTGTGAGACACCAATGTGTCCCTGAGCAAGACACTTGACCCCAAGTTGCTCCAGAGGCGTGTGACCTCTGACATATACAGGAATTGTAAGTCGCTTTGGATAAAAGCGTCAGCTAAATGAATAAATGTAAAAGATCTAGTGCTGACATATAAACTCGGGTTAGTTGACCTCTATGGCTGCTATGCAGCGATGAGCCAGTGTTTCACACCATAATCATAGCTATGGGACTATAGCATTGTAGCAATCAGCATATAGGACTATGCATATCTGATATAGTATCTAATTGTTTTGACATGTTCTTATGCTCTGTTGTCAGGCTGCTGCTCAACAGCAGGAATCAGAGACGACCCAGCGGGCCGAGCGGGAAGTGACGCGTATGGTGGTCGTCATGGTGATTGCGTTCCTAGTGTGCTGGGTGCCGTATGCCAGTGTGGCCGGGTACATCTTTGCTAACCAGGGGGCTGAATTTGGTCCTGTCGCCATGACGATACCAGCTTTCTTTGCCAAGAGTGCAGCCCTCTACAACCCGGTCATCTACATCTTACTCAACAGACAGGTGAGACTGTGACTCATGCTCTTCAATACTTGTGTATGTGTATTATGTTATATTCAGGGCTGAGAACGTGATCATGAGCCCAATTACATCAAAATCAAAGTTTTGTTGCTTTCGGTCCTCTACCGTATATGCTTTTTACTTGATGATAACACACTTTAGACACAATGTTTGCCGGTTACTTTGTTGTTGGTCTACCATCAATAATTCGGCAACAGAATTTTCATTTTTGGGTGAACTAACCATTTAAGGTCGATAATTCAGCAACAGAGGGGCATGAGGGTCTTAAGGTCAAGCGTCTGCCAAATCCTTACACGTGATGCAAACTGTTCTAAACACACAGCAGAATTAATTATTGTGTGTATGAGCAACACACACTAGTGCTGTCTCATCCCTGAATGAATCAGTGTTTTGACTCCATCAGTAATATGACTGTATATCAGTACCTCAGCCTTAAAGCACTGTGAAGGAGGTCAAACATCTCAAATGCTAAGACAGCCTCTGCATCGTAAATGCCGATGAGGAGAAGATGAGACGGCACTTTAAAATTACACTACAATGGCCATTGCCAGTTTCAGTGTGGTGAGAGTAAAACTGACCTTGAGTTCAGACTGCCTGATTTTCAAAGTAGTCGGGTCGCTGTTCTTTTCACTCTGCATGACTATCTTGTCCAGCATTCAGTCACTGCGGTGTTCACACTGGATGATTGATCGGTGACAGAAGGTTTCACACTGCATGACTTTACAATAGGAAAAATCGCCGACAGACTCTGTTTAGCACGCTGCGCGCAAACTACGTTTCACAACAAACACACGCGAGATGTGAAAAGGAAACAACGCGACACCACACGTGCGAGACCGGAGTTCTCACGTGAGACTTTTTTTTTTCGACCCGGTTGTGGTCCAGCTGGTAAAACGTCAAACAGACACGAGTGCTCCTGCCAAGTTTCTACTAATTTTTCTTCCATTTATTGTGTCCAAATAGACCGTGAAGAAGCTTTTTTTTCCGAAACAATGCCATGTGATCTATAACTCCTCCCCGAACTCCCCGCTGCTCTGTATCTTGCTCTCTCACTGGCTGCTGATGTATTTTTCAGTCAAAACACTTTTCACACAGCAGGATTTTGAATCGCCGACAGGTCCAGATATTTAGCATGCCAAATATCTCACGGGCGTCGGCGACTCGTCGGTGATTCTGTCAGTTCGCGTCTTTGCTCATTCACACTGCGTGATTGTCACGAGCGCCGAGTTGCCTGTGATTTTGTGCATTTGTCGGCGATTTCTCAAAACCTGTCGGCGAGACAAAATCGTGGCTAAAATCATGCAGTCTGAACTCGGCATAGACACTACAACTGGGGTACTAGTCCAGATTTGCCGGTGTTCTGACAATTCATGCTACCCATCGAGTTTTGCTACTTACCGGTTATGCGCATGTGCAGACTTTTTTTTTTTACATTTTTTTTTTTTTTTACAAAAGGTACATTTTCCTGTTATAATGTATAATTTCCCTTTAAAATGCTTACTACCATATGAATATTTGTACGGTCAGCCATCTGAAAAGGAATAAGTTTCAGTTACTATAAGGAAAGGTGTACTTTGACAAGTCAAAGATGAATATTTTATGATAATTTTTACTTTTCACACCGTTTTCAAAATAAAAACAGTAGTCTACAGTATACAGTAGCTACTCATAACTTAGAATTGTATTATAATTGTATTTCAATCGACATTCTGTGATCAATTCGCGCTACAGTGGCATTTTTCGACAAGGCAGCAAAATTCAACAGAACACCGGCTCTAGGACTGTAATTGTAGCAATTTGTAGCGTTGTTAGTTTTCCATTTTACATAGCAATTTTAATAAACATAGTACCCGTGAAACTTTAATGATATTATTGGGGGTCCAAGGTGGACACGGTTGACATTGAACACCCCTGGTGTCTATAGAAAGCACTAGTTGTACCCATTTCCCCCAAGTAACTGTTAACTGGTTGGGTTCAGTTCCGGAACTGCATGCTCACGACGGTCTGCTGTGGGAAGAACCCGTTCGGGGAGGAGGAGACCAGTATGATGACCAGTAAGACCCAGTCCTCGGTGGTCTCGTCGGCTCAAGTGGCTCCCGCCTGAACGTCCCGGCGGCTCGAACTGGACCGGTCCGGCACGCAGACTCCTACAGGCCAAACAGCGCTCCTCAAATCTCACATCTACTTCCATCGCTAGGTCATCTTATTCTGTCCAGTCAGATCTCTCCAACTCTGCTGTGTTTGAACTGTGTGCAACTGTGCATTTATGTGGGAAATCCTTCAATGTCTGTTCCACTAGCTTCGGCTTCACCAGCGTTTGCTGATTCTCCAGCTGTTAGATGAATATGTAGCTATGATCAGTTATGAATTTGTACATTGTGACTATAGGCTGATGTTTTGAATCCAAGTTTGCCGTTGACGAAGTGATTCTGAGCGCTGGAGCCATAAGACCTCAGGAGAAACACCAACAAAACCATTCTGTGAACTTTTAGATGTAAATGTGAATATGTCAGTGTGTGAGGATATGAATTTGCCTGCAGATTAAAAATACAGAGGCAAAGATGAAATAAAAGCTCATGTGAAACTTGCCCTCGGAGACATGACGAAGAAAACTGACCATGACACACGTTTTAGTAAAGTCTTTACTGATAAAATTTCCCTCTTTCTCCAAAAAGCTTCACAGAAGAACGCACACATATCGGTTTGGACTCTTCCAAGAATGATCAAAACCCTTTATATATATAAAAAAGAACAATAATACAAATGCAACACTTTCATTATATGTTATTCATATCATTACTTGTAGTCCAAGGCATCGTGGAATTAGAGAGAAACGCCATTGAACAAACATCCCATCAGAAACGTTCTCCACATTGATTGAGGCACACTATAAACTCATCACACAGGTATAAATATTGCTATGGAGAAGGTCTTGAATAATCCAGTGCATGATTGGCTCTCCCCGAGTGTGGGGTCAGTGCGTCACAATTAAACAACCTCCTCGACTGAAGTCAATGCTTGAATACTATAGAGCGAGAGCAAGCGTCTGTTTCTCTTCACCTGAGGATCCTCACACACACACACACACACACACACACACAGTCGATCAGGCTTCGCTGCTGCACTCGTAGATGTTGTCCTCCATCAGAGCCACGACCTGCTCGAAGCGGTGCTGGAGCTGAGTGCGTCGAGCGGTGGGGTTCGAGTCCAGCGCGCTCGCCACCTGACACACACACACACACGAATAGAGCTTTAATTCAACTGATTTAGATAATGTTGAATATAACGTATAATCTAGTCAGTCAAAGAATGCAAACATATAAAAAATGTAAAACTGAAAAAAGTAACCTTTGATCACGCGAGTATCGTAAAGTTCAGTCTCGTGATATATATCAAATCGTGACATGAGAGTATCGTTACACCCCTACTATACATCATTCAGGGAACTTCTTTTTCTGAAACATTTCAGTTGGATGTTCATTTAACATTTTTAATGTAACTACTTGATTCGGAACGTTCAGAGAACATTCGTAAGAAAGTAACATTCGTCAAAAGTAACGTTCCATAATGTTTAAAGAATGATACAATACAATGTTCCATTAACGCTCACGTAAGGTTCAGAGAACATGCAGAAATAGTGTTTTAATCTCTTAATGGGAACGTTAACATCATGTTGTTAGCCGTGACTGAGGATTTAGTTGAAATCAATAAACACACGCCGGAGCACAGCTGACACTGGAGAACCGCAGCGCTGGAGCTCCTGAACTATAGTGTTGGACACGACAACTACAACAGCAGAAGTGTGTGTGTCTCTGTTTCTCATAGTCCAGCACACACTGTAAACGGTGAACGGGTGTTTTTAAGCTTGACATGAGCACATGCAGTGTGTGTTTTAACTTTTCAGCTGCATATGCAAAAAATGAAATAAATAAATGCCAGTTCTCTGACTGAGAATAAAGCTGTCTCCTCCTGCAGTGAAACACACACACACACATGTGATCCCATTCATGTCAAACGAGCAGAAACGAGCTCATCTGCACACACACACACACACCGGACAGTGACTCACCTGACTGCGATATTTCTTGGCGTACTTGTAGACTTCTGTTAAGGCCAGGTTGGTGTTGAACTCATTCCTGTATTTCTGTGGCAAAAGGCATTCAGACATTCTCTGTCAGTGAACATCAGGTGCTATTAAACTATTCCTCAAGGGTATAATGCAGCTGACATGTATGGCGTATTGCAACAACTGCATTGTGTGCTTAAAATCACGACTTACGGCAAGCGAAATCGATGAATGAATTAGTGTGACGTCGTTCAGAACAAATTCAAGCCAAAATTAAGTTTTGAAACAACTTGTCAATGATCTTTCAAAGGTAAAATACTGGTAAACGCCTTCAAACCCCCATTGGTTGTGAGGTGCTGATGTAACAGTGAGTGTATCTCTGAGGCTCCGCCCCTCTGAGATGTGACAGTGCATGTCTCTGAGGCTCCGCCCCCTCTGAGGTGTAACAGTGGGTGTGTCTCTGAGGCTCCGCCCCCTCTGAGATGTAACAGTGGTGTCTCTGAGGCACCGCCCCCTCTGAGGTGTAACAGTGGGTGTGTCCTGAGGCTCCGCCCCCTCTGAGGTGTAACAGTGGGTGTGTCCTGAGGCTCCGCCCCCTCTGAGGTGTAACAGTGGGTGTGTCTCTGAGGCACCGCCCCCTCTGAGGTGTAACAGTGGGTGTGTCTCTGAGGCTCCGCCCCCTCTGAGGTGTAACAGTGGGTGTGTCTCTGAGGCACCGCCCCCTCTGAGGTGTAACAGTGGGTGTGTCCTGAGGCTAAGGGAACTCACTCACCCGCGACTCCTCGGCCAGGTGCGCGTTCATCTCCTGCTCGCTCAGCGGCGCCATCTCCTGGATCTGCTGGTAGTAGTTCTGCACTCTCTTCTTGTACTCCGGGATCTCTTTGGCATACAGAAGCTTATTGGTGGGGGAATCCTGAAATACACACAGCAGCTGGTCAGAGATCTGTTACACTTCCTCCTGTGTGTGTGTGTGTGTGTGTGTGTGTGTGATCTCACTTTGCCCAGCTGCAGGTCAGACAGTGAGCAGGCGTCGATGAAAGCCTGAGCGATGACAGACAGACACGCATCCATGTGGTCCGTCTTATCGATGTCGAACACAAACTGAGGATTCTTCAGGATATTCACCCAGAAGCGCAGAGGCAAACTGAACACACACACACACACACACACACACACACACACACACACACACACACACACACACACACACACATGATTAATAACTGCTGCTTGTGCCAATGTTATTTGTATTAACTTTAGATGTTGCAGTGTTATTTCAGTACATTATTTATTACTATGTATTACATTTACTTATTTTAGTTAAGACCCTTTTTAATGCCATATGAGCAGGATAGATTGAGATCTATAGTCACACCAATTTACATAACTTTACAATTCAAATAATACAAGTTTTGATACAAGGTTTTCTATTAAATTATAAACATTTCAGCCTTTAGAAAAGAAAAAGGTTCAATAAAATCATTACATTTGTATTCATTTAAAACATTATTGTATTATATATACGATTATGATATCATATGGTTTACAGGCATCAAAGGTTAAAAAATTGTTTCATTTTCACTGAAGACCTCCCGAAGTGATAATTGGGAGTTTTCTTATACCATTTAGGGACCCCGAATGAAAGAAGCACTGGCCCCAAACACCCGGATGAGCCTCATCATACAGTGCGGCTATTGACCTCGGGCCATCAACGGATAACTGACCTCGGGCCATCAACGGACCAATTAGAATCAACCATCTTTTCAGAGAGAGAGAGAGTGAAATAACAGTACCTGTTCGTCTTCCAGATGTGTAACGTGTCCGGATCGGTTATGCCGCGCTTGTCCGCCTGTTCCTCCAGAAAGTCGAAGAAGTACTTGATGGCAAACGGTGGATTCTCCAGAGGAATGCTGAGGATGGCTTGGAAGAGATCATCCAGGAACTTCTGCAGTGTTCCCTGACACACACACACACACACACACACACACGTATTAGTCTTCATGTACAGCGCTCTCTGGTGGGATTGAGTTTCACCTGAGCTTTACAGTCCACGTCTCTCTGCTACTGTCCCTTTAAAACATACTGTATGCTAATGAGCTCATGGTTGTGACATCATAAACATCGGTGGTCATGATGTCCGCCTGAAGGACAAAACGGGACATTTTCATGTAGACTTTCAACACCATCATCCCTCACTTCTG